TATATATATATATATATATATATATGTAAAAATTGAAGGTAAATATGTAAATACATAGGAATTGAGTGGTGTGTATTTAAACTCCATCTCTGGAGAAATATTTGCGTATGTAAGACGTACGCAGAGTTGCATACATATTAGGTTATTCAGAGGGTACATGTACGTTTACACTTATGTTATACCCCTTGTAATTCTTCACGTAACCTAAGTGTAACCTACATGTACCATCCAAATAACCTAATATGTACGCAAATATTTCTCCCCTCTCAGAACCTTTTAGCTGATCTAGTTTAGAATTTAATGTTGATTGAAGCTAAACAAAAATTTGATTAACACACTAAATAAAGTTCGATCACAAATGCAAAATAAAGATAATTTAGATAAATTATTAAATTAAAAAAAGAAAAACAAGAGTAGGCATTTATACAACTCAAATTTAATAAAATATTTAAAAGGTTTTTATGAAAAGGAAAAAAAAAAAAAACTGGAAGAAATAAATTAAGAAAAAAAAACAGGAATATGAGAAATTAAATAGAAATTATTGCCTCTTTTTGTGCATAACACAATGATTTCGCCATGTCCAGAACAGTAGGAAGAGCACCAGCATTAACCCCATAGAGGCCCAGAAGATTACCAGCCATGCTGGAGGCATTGGGTTGGGAAATAGACCTAAATAAATTTAAATAAAAACTTAATTACAAATTTACCTTACAAATGATAGATTATAAGAATTTTAAAAAGATATATTTACATACATACCATCCAATTCCTATGTTTTTACATATCCAACACCTAAACATGGCTTTTAACATTTATACCACCCAAATCTTCATATTACATAACAAATATGAGCATTTTAAGTTTAAAAAATGTGACATACACCTTTTCATGCATGGGTAAGGCGGTATGTACGTAAAAATTGAAGTTTAGGTGTTAGATTTGTAAATATTACAAATAATTAAAAAATTAAAAAAAAAAAAAACTCACCATGGCAAAATTTGATGCATATGAGGAGTTCCACAATGCAAATAGCTAATGAAAGCCAACAAAATGCTCCTATCTTCTTCGTTGGCTTCCTGGAATGAATAATAATTTGAGAGTGTAGAAATATAAATTTATTTATTATATATGCAAAAAAAACATTTATCGGAATATCCTGATGTAAGTTTTATCAGAATGTTACGATGAAATGTTCAATGTCGTCAAATAAATACTCGAAACTAGAAAACAACAAAAATTTATTTAAGAAAAAAACAATCGACGCAATTCATGTATTTGCACGTCTAACACTTAAAACTTTTATATACAGTTATGTAATATCGTGTTAGTTATAACATCACGTCGAAAATATCATTAATATTAACTTTTCTAGAGTTAAATTCACGTTTTCATGCATATTTGTTGATAAAATCGTAAAACTAAAGGGTCATACACGTAAATATTAAAGTTTAGGAGTTAGATATGTAAATACAAACTTACATGTAAAGATTTACATGCATATAACACAATTCTAATGTATCTATATTTCTATCACCTAAACTTTATTTCACTTTTAGAACTCAGCATGCTTTCGATTTGATACGAAAGATTCGAGTGTTATAAATATAAAAATCAAAATTTATATGCAGATATATAAATACATTGAAACCCAATATTTATGTATCTGAATACAAATTGCATCAGGATATCTGGATACGACTTTTTTTCGCTTGATATATCCAAAACTCGATAGGATGTGGAGAAAAAACCTGTCTTGCAAGTAGGAGTTGTACTCGCGAATAGTGGGTATTGCAATAATCCACCATAGGATCAATCTATAAATCACAACAGGGTTTCCGGGCGGTATCCAAAGGCAGAACTTAAGAAAGAATGTGTTTAGCTCGACAGTGAGGAAGACGACACAAAGAGTAAGAACTTGGATGAACCTCCATGGCCCTTGAAGGGGATGCCATTCATCTTTGTCCCATTGAGCAGGAGTAAATTGGCCCAATGTTCTCTTCACCTAAGAAGAAAATCAAAAATAAAGATTCAATTTTTAAGTATT